TCTTAGACTGAATTGGCTATTCTGACAGACTCAGAGATTTAAGAACATACTGACAATCTCAACACTACTGGAATTCTTACTGGTGAATGGGATTTTGTTTATAATAACTATAGTGACCAGTTGACCAATGTGGGGAAAGAGGACATTAAGATGAATGAGCTAGAAATCTTGTTACTTGAAAGCACAGTGGCTAGCAATCTTTCACCACAAGAAGATTTGATTACAAGTAATGTTAATACTGGTGACAAGAGAGAATGTACAGAATCTGCTGTTAAAAAAAGCTTAAACTTCTACATTCTGATTCCACCAGTCAAGCTTTCTGTTATATCCACAACCCACATCATTAAATATGAGATGACAGGTTGAAGGGCAGGTGTATCTGTTGATGTTCAAATTAAACCTGATTCTGAATATCTGGAAGAATATAATTTATTTTATTTATTTTGTAGTGAGATTGATTATGAAATAGTAAGTTTCTTTTTCAGAGCAAAACTCAGCAAAAGACATATTAATAACTTCTTGAAGAGCTTTTTTCTACACAGCATCACTATGTAACTGAGTTTTCACAATGCAGATGAGCTCTTCTTGAAAGTTGTCAAGATCTTATATAGCTATACTGCAAGAAATTAGGTTTAGATAAATATAACAGTTCGTTCTCTTGCCAGAATCAGATTCACACTTTAAGACACACAAGCTTCAGTATCACAAAGTTGAATATATTATTTAACATCTTCTTGACTGTAAATCATTCTGGAAACATCTGGTATATGAATCAGTGCAGCACTTTAATCAGAGCAATGACTGGGTGTATACAGAAATAGATACTGAAAATTAGTGATGAAATACACAGAAGAACTTTTCTGATAATGCAACTGTAGTATCAGTATTGATTATGACAGACAAAACACAGCTTATTAACTAACATGAAGACTTGAACTCATGGTCTGTATATCTCTCAATTGGAAATTTAAGTAATATGGCAAGATAATCTTATAACATGAATGGTACAATGCTTGTTGAATTTCTTCCATTATTAAAGAATGCATTATGGGAACTCAAATTCTGAGTGTACTATAAGTCTATAAGAATTATACTAAAGTGTAAGTCTTACTTTAAAGCACTACAGATTCCTGTTATTGCAATATATAATCTAGCTGTATGGCTAGATATATGCTGAATCTGTTGGCAAAATTGACTGACAGTTGGTTAAGTTAATTAGCACTTGAACACTTGTATAAAACAGACTTTATAGTCAAATATGCTGATGGGTGAGTTTGAAACTGTTTTCCTATTCTTGTCAGAATAATAGCTAACTATAAAGAACAAGTGTTGATAACTAAAGTTAAAAGTGGTAGATACTGCACTATTTGCACTGTTCCATCTAATGCACAAGAGAATCTGACAGAATCCTGGCCAATAAGAACCCATGAATACATACTGGCAATGCTTTAGAACCAGCAGGATACAATGGCAACCAGAAGACTTGATGAAATTTCAACAAGGATTAAAGAAATATAGGTTCATGCTGTTTCAAACTTTGTATAACATCATTCATTGGTAAATATTCACAGTATTATGATGATTAACATTCTTTATCAATTGCTTAAAGAGCTAGTGAATCATTTAATTAACTGGTTAAAGACTTTAATTAAGAATGTCTTCAAAGCAATCTGTTAAGAGAAGAAAGACTCTGATCCCATCATTACTATATCAGATGCTGGAGGTATTGCAAGACTTGATAAGTGATTTTGACAGATTTCTGTGTATTATTTACTAAAGTACTTCAAGAAGTTCAGCACTATAAGTCAATGAACTGGAGTTCAACAAAGAGTAGTTATAGTTAATTGTAGCAATTGCTCCAATACTGACAAAGACAAAGTCAGCTGCTGTGCTATTTGCTTGTGCTGTACTTGATCTGCTTTTCCTCATGTGATATCAGTCACATAATAAAAATACATAAAATATATTAAACATGCACTGTATCAAATCAACAGACTTAAATAAGCTTTTAGTGACTACCAGACAAATAACAAAAATTCTGCTGAGAGTGGGTATTTTAATTTTCTGAAGTTCCATGTACTTGTTCACTATATACAATTCATTTATGAATTTAAGAGTCTTGATAGATTCAACACTGAGAATTATAAGATATCACACAAATATTTAGTTAAAGAGCTGTTCAGTAGAACCAACAAGTAACAATTATATCAGAATCAAATAATTAAACATAACATCTACTGCATGAACATGATGTTAATTAAGAATACAGTGCTTGATGATAAAATTCTGAATCAAGAAGCAGCAAGAGCAGTTAATAAGCTAGAAGTCAAGAACACATGCCTGTCAGAGACAGTATCTATATGTAACTTGAGATGGCAGATGTCTGAACTGAGTGCTAGAAATCTTCTCAAGAATCAACTCACTGCTGCAGATCTAGCCAGCCAATTAGAAAGTCTGAGTGATGAATTTCTTAAGATACTTGCTGTATTTGTTCAGAAAATATGAAAGTAATTGAATATTACAAAATCTGGAGAAACTTGTGCTTTTAGTGATGAATGAGAGTCTTAATCAGATTAGATCAAGACATACTGTCTTCAAATTCACCAATCTATCACAACTTGGAAACTGGATGGAAAGAATAGCTCAAACTTAGAAAGATTGATCAAAGAAATTGTGCATTGCTCACTGACATGAATGGGAAAAACAAATTTCTGGTAGCAGAACTATATTTAGATTCAAGTGCATGAACTATCCCAGACAAGTAGATTCATATTGGATGGCAAGATGGTTGGCCAGCTTGTGGTTGTGGTAACAGTTCTTGATTATGAATGAACAGAATATACAAGAAGCCAAAAGATTAATATATTAACTGCACAACCTGCAATGTAAAGTGGTGCATTTATTGACATGTTACAGACCTGTACTGGAATTCTACATAAGATTCATGGCATGGTTGAGGTGGAATTACCTGCAATATCTTAAAGGTCTTTGTCAAAAAGCTGCAATCTTAGTAAATAATGAATCTACTTCATGGAGAATATCATCTGTAGTACATATGTTTTTCCAGCAACAGAAGATGAGTCTTTGCATGAAGGCAAAAGACTTTTTTATATGAACAACTATATTAACTGGAACCAGTATACAAGTCTATATAACCTGAATTTTATGAACACTGGTACAGCACTAGTAAATAAGTTTTCCTCTAAACTTCAACAAGCAATGGTGAATAGAAAAGCAAAATCTGATGGAGAATCTGAGAAAGAATTGACTGAGTAATTAAAATATTCAAAAATACTTGTCAGTAACTGAAACATTTTAGTAAATTATTGAATACATTCTTTTTACTACTCTACTTAACAATATTGTAATGAATTATTTATGCCAGAGATGAGATAAAACATCTTTATGATGATTATATAGTCAGTTGGATGACTATAATATCTAGCTGTATGATAGATGTGCATGTCTGTCAGACCCTTGCTGTATGGCTAGATATATATCTCAACATGACTTTGAGGCCCCATTGTTTGTACTCTGTAACTATATTGGTGAAGATTAAAGCATTTTCTGCAGCTGTATAAAATATGAAGTAACTAGTTATCTAACTGGCTAACTAGTTACAGAGTACTCTGTACTCTGTAACTTGGTTAACTAACTTACTAGTTAGTCAGTCATGTGACTCATAATATCTCTCAACTTCTTACAGTAGCTTTACAGGCCCCAGTTCATGTTTTGCATTCTGGAACTTGATGAGTTGCATGGTTTTTTTTTTTGATTATTTATTATATGCAATTCAATTTGAGAATCTGTTACTTACTAAGTGATTTTCTTGAGTAACACTAACAATAGTTCTCAGAAATACATCCTCCAGGCAAAGCTGTGCAGCTAGCACCAGATTACTAGAAGTCAAAGATTGAAAAGTGTTGGTGATTAAACATGAACTGAAAATTAACCATGATACATATTGATTACTATATCACTCTGTTAAATGAGAGATGTGCCTACAACAGATATTTGGGAAGAAACTTAGCATACAGAAGAACAGAAAAAAACTACTTGATGTTATTTAATAGATAATTACTTAATATAATTCTATCTTTTATAATTATCTGACTCTCCAGACATAATATTGTCTAACAGCAATAGCTCAGAAATGCAACAACAATTAAAAGTACTGTCTATTTAAAGAAGAGCTTGCACACTCAAACTCAATTACTTTATCAGACAGTAATTATTCTTAGTTCAACTTTATTTCTTCTGATATTGTAGTGGGGATTCCGGTACCTCATTAGGACAAAGGTTGTTCCGGTCTGAGGCACAAACCACCCCAAAGCTACTATCCTTGAGCTATATAAACCACCTGTAGCCCCTGCATCTTGCTTATTACCTTCATGCACCATTGCTCTTTTCTATACACTTGTTTCTTACTACCAGTTCGGCTATTAGTTAGAGAATATGAAGATTTCTTGTTCATGAAATGTGCTACTGTTCCTCATTAGAGCTGCCTGTGTTAGTACAGGGCTCTTTAGTACTATTACTCCTTGCAAGCTTAGGCGTCTGTTAGAACATATCTATCTCTACACTTACTACTCAACCATACCCTTACTATATGGTGATTTTTCATCTTTCTTGTGCTCTCACCATATCAACCAACTCACCTACTTTGATGAGGCATCCCATCATACCCCACTCCATTTGGTGACCAAGCTGAGACCTGAAGATGATGATGTGGTGATTTGGTGACTGCCAAGGAAGAGAAAAACAAATTCTGAGACACATGAAGCAATACACTATTTCAAGGTAAGATCTTATGGACTAGGAACACAGTACTAATCAGTTTTTTTTATTTAGGAATAAGATTAGGGAGCTTAGATTTGAATGCCTCTTATCTAGAGCTTGCCTGATAAACAGGTTTTTGGAAGATATTGACTAATAGACAGAACATACTGTGTGACATGACCAAAGATCAAGAAACCAAGAAATTGGAATCAGAATCAACTATGGCTGAAGGTACTACAGGATCATATACAACTATATCACTGGGTGAGGACAAGAGAATTGTGGTTCATTCCCACATTCCTATGCCTTCCCCTGGCACAGCAAATGCACCTTGGTTCGACAGCAGAGATGCTACCCTGTTTATTGAAAGGTTTTATCAGATGTGCAAGGATCATGGGGTAATTGACTCTAAAAACATTATTGAATGGTTGGCTAGGTACTGTGTTACATGGATTGGAGAATGGATGAAGACCTTGGAAGGCTACAAAGAAGGTAATTGGGAAGTATTCTCCAAAGAGATTATTCATGAATTTCATGATCAAGACATCACTTACAAGATTCACTGTTGGGATTACCTTCAGGCAATTACAAAGAAACCACATGCTTGGGATGACAACATTCACACCTATGTTCAAGAATACACTACTATCACCAGTACAGTTCAAGCAAATGGAAGGCTTGATGAATTCACTAAGATGTCTTGGTTCCTTCAGGAGCTACCTGAGAAGCTCCAGAATAAGATTATTGACAAGGCCAAGCTCAATCTTTCAGACAATATGTCATCTATTGATTTTAGGAAAGTTGTTCAGGTGACCATGGATTTGATCAACCAGTATGAAGGGAATAAGAAGGTCTTTGAAGAAGATGAAATGAAACAAAAGAAAATGGAGAAGCTTGGTGAGCAATATCAATTGACTAACAAGCCCCCTACAGTTGAAGCTCCAAAGAAAACAGCTAGTTTTGCAAAGACTGAAGAATCTGAATTGAAAGCCAAAGCCAAGGGCTCTGACAGCACCAATATTGAAGCTGCTATTGAAAAGATGACCAACAAGTTCACAAATTTGGCATTAGCTATGAGAGTACAATCAAATCAGATACAAGAGAATTCTGATCAGTATTATATGCTGCAGAGAGAAGGACCTCCAAAACCTATACCAAATTATCCAACAAATGTGACTGTTAATCCTACAACTGTACAAGAGAATACTCAACTGCCAGTCAACCCCTATTTGGCTTGAAATGGCTCTCCTATGACAGGCTATAGTAGTGCTCATGGACAAGGAGGAGCTTAAACTGGAGGAATTTTGACACATTTCTCATGCTTCTACTGTGGAAAACCTGGACATCATCAATCTCAGTGTTATGAATACCAATCCAATATGAGTAATGGATACTGCCATATTGATGACAAAGGGAACTTACACATGGGCTCTAAGGGTCAAAACTATCAAGCTGTCACTTCTAAACCTGGAATCCCAAACATGTATATTGTGCAGTCTATGGGAGAGGATGAATGGGTGATTCCAGAGTCAACAAGCTCTAAAAAGAAGACCAATCAGCAAGAAGAGACACCTCCCACAAATTCAACCAGTGTGAAGGTCCAAGCAGGACAGCTTGCATACCTAATGTCTGATGGAGAATCTGATTCAGATAAGGAATATGAACCATTGGAAGAAAGGACATCAGTCAATATTGGAACAGTTAGAGAAGCTAAGAACAATCAAAGAGCTAAGATTGCAACACCCCATACTCAGCATACTGGACAATTTATTACTTACCAGGATAATCAGGCTAGTGTTGATGACAATGTCATGAAAGACATTGAACCAATCAATCAGAAGAAGCCTGAAATTCAGAACAAGTCTGTGGAGAAACAAAGACCAAGATATTCTGCAACAGATTACTTATTCTCTCAGATCTGTGATTCAACAGATGCCAATGAATTAATGGGTCAAATTCTCAATGGAAAAGTTGAATTGTCAGTCAAGAAGCTTATAGGTGTATCACCAAAGCTTTATCAAGCATTCTTCAGATCAGGCTGGAATAACAGTACTAGCAAAAGCCATGCAAGGGTTGGAGTCTCCAAACCAGTTCAGCCTGAGCTAAAGATCAATTCCAGTCAACTTACTTCAAAGCCCATGGTGCCAAAATCCAAAACAGCATATGGAATGCATTCATTATATGCGCCAGTCACTATAAACCAACAAGAATTAATGGTGTTAATCAATACTGGTTCAGAAATCAATTTGTTGTCTTGAAAGTACACTGAAATGTTGAAATTGCCAATGGAGAATAAGCCGCAAGTGACCATGGTTGTTCAAACAGGAGAAGTTGCTTCTTTTTACACATTTTGTGACAAAGTGCCTGTTCAAATTGGAGATATTGTTACACATACCCCTTTCCTTATATTCAAGAAAGAGGATCAGCAACTTATTCTTGGAAGACCTTGGCAATTTGCTGCCTGTTGGGGGTGCAACACCTCAGAAGACAGCAGAGTGAACTGTGAAATTTATAACAAAGAATAAATGCATCACCTAGTTTTCAAAGACTTTAAGCTAAACTTGAGCAACATGAGATATGCAACTGATAAATCAAACAGCAATCATTTAAACAATTCAACAGGCATTTAATCAGGTGGGTGCCTGTGGATACAAGGCCTGAGGAGGATAAAGAAGATGTGATGAGGACAATGGGTATAAGAATTAATGATGAGAAGGTTGAAGGTCAGGAGATTGAAAAGAATAGGGAAGTCAGGAGCATTGGCAGCATTGCCAGCATTGGTGATTACAGCAATGAGGAGAAACATAATTCCAGCATTGGTGAATCCAAAAGTGTGCTAAGCCTAATCAGATTGACCAGCACACTGGTGAATCAAATGAACCAATCAGAAGACAAGGATAATTTTGCATCAGGAGTTCAGATTTTCCAACCTCCACTTCCTGATCCAGACAGCATCACAGCTCACTGCAAACATTACACATGCAATATTAATTCCAGCTTAATTCACAAACCTATTCCACAAAGTGCTCAATCAATTTATGCATCTCTGAACAAAAATCACAATTTTGTCACAAAGAAATCACATCAGATAGACATTTTCAATTGTGGATGGGACATCAGGCCACCTTCTTCAGAGGTCTGGAGAGTGTGCACTGCTTATAAGCAGAAAGCTGATAAGATAAAGCCATTAGCACCTGGAAAATCTGATGGAAGCAAGCCAGAAGGCCTAGATAATTGGGTGGATATTTGTTTGGATAAGTATTACCCTGAAGAGAAACACATCATGTTTAATTGTGAATTTAATGACCATATTAGGCCTAGGATCACACCCTTTCCTGTTGGAGAACAGCTAACAAATGAGAGAATTGAGAAGCTCAAAATTGGATTTGAACTGACAAGTCAGGAGAAGGAATTTTTCATATCAGTCCTTTATAAATGTGAAGGGGTGTTGGCTTGGTCATTCAAAGACCTATATGGCATTCATCCTGAATGCTTGCCTCCCCAGGTTATTCAGACAGAGCCCCATGAGGCTTGACAGACTAAGACTTACCAAATTCCTCATGCTCTACATGATAAGCTAATTAAAATCATTCAGGACAGGTTAGAAGCTAAAACATTGGAGCCTTGCCATGATTCATATACCAATCCCTATTTTCTGGTTGCAAAGAAACAGAAAGGCGAATATTGTTTAGTTGACACAGCACATATGTACAACAAAGTTACTATTCAGAACACTTTTATTCCTCCTAATGTTGACAAATACACTGAAGACTTCAGCAGACTTGTTATGGCTAGCCTATGCAACTTATTCTCTGGATACAATAATTTTCCATTAGCTGAAGAAAGCAGAGATATGACAGTCATTGCAACCTCTATTGGGCTCTTTCACCATATGACTTTAGTCCAAGGGGCAACAAATTCACCAGCTCAAGCCCAACACAGGATAATGAAGATAATACACAAGGTTTTTCCAGAGATTGCTCAAGCCTTTATAAATGACCTTGGGGTAAAAGAATTGTGTGTCAAAGATGAAACTGAAGTCCTCCCAGAAATAAGAAGATTTGTTTATGACTATCTGCAGAACCTGGACTATGTTCTATGGCTTGTCAAAATCTCTGGGGCCAGGATCTCCAGCACCAAATCTCAATTCTGCATGTCTGGAGTCAATGTTATTGGATGGGTCTGCAACTATGACAGATGACAACCTGAGGAAGCCAAGATGGCTAAAATTGTGAATTGGTCTACTCCTACAAGCATTACAGAATTACAAGGATTTCTAGGACTTGCTGGATATTTCTGAATACTTATAGAGCATTATAGTTGGATAACCAAACCTTTACATTATCTGCTTCAACAAAATGTTACATGGACATGGACTAAAGAGCAAAATGACACCTTTATGCTTTTGAAAGAAAAGTTATGTTCATTCCCTATCATTCTTCCAATCAATTACAAACAAGATCCTTTGCTTATCACTGTGGCTGTTGATGCCAGTGAATTAGGATGGGGAGGATGCATTATTCAGGAGCAACAAGAAGCTCAACATTCCACACAATACAAATCCAGAGTATGGAATGATTCAGAGAAAACATATGATGCTGGCAAACAAGAATGCAGAGCTGTTTTGAAAGTCTTCAAGAAATTCCAACACCATATATATGGAGTGCCCTTTACTTTGGAAATTGATGCAAAAACTCTTGTCACCCAACTTAATAGGACTGCTACAGATGTTCCAGGAGCTTTGGTTACCAACTGGATAGCTTGGATACACCTCTTCAACTTTACTGTTAAACATGTTCCTGGGACAAAACACACAGCTGCTGACAGACTATCTTGCCAAGGACTAGATATTGGGGAACAGCCTGAATCTGAAGAAGATGAAGATCTGTTTGCCTTTATGGATCCTATAAGAGTTTTAGCTGGCTGAGCTCTCAATAGTGAAGACCTTAGGATACTGGACTCCACATATTCAGAAGAATTGGAGAAAATTGCACAATACCTAACCACCCTATCAAAACCATTGGGCATGGAAGGAAAAGAATACACGAGATTCCAAAGAAAAGCAATTAAATATGTGGTGGAGGCCAATCAGCTATTTAGGCAAGCAGGATCTGGTGTGCCTCTAAGATGTGTTGTGGACAACAAAGAACAGCGCGAACAAATTTTACACATGATGCACAATGAATTTGGCCATAAAGAGCAAGAGAGAACATACTCTGCTCTACAAGCTCAATACTGGTGGTCAGGGATGTATAAAGATGTGTCTGCTTATGTGAAGCACTGTTCTCAATGTCAACAAAGAGATTTGCAAAGATTGAGCAAAGAGCTTCATCCTACCTGGGCCTCTATCTGTTGGGAGAAAGTTGGGGTGAATATCAAGCACATGCCTTCCTGTCAAGGACAAAATTATTTGGTTGTTGCCAGATGTGACTTCACTGGATGGATGGAAGCTAGAGTCTTGAAAAAGGCAACAGCTGAAGCTGTGGCCAAATTTCTTTATAAGGATATCATCTGTCAATGGGGCCTGCCTGCCAAATTTGTTATGGATGGAGGACCAGAAAATAAGAACATTGTGGAGACCTTACTGAAGAAATTCAACATTAAACACATTGTTATTTCACCCTATAACCCTCCTGCAAATGGTATGGTGGAAGTTGGCCATAAGCCTTTGGCTGATGGGCTAGCTAAAGCTACCAATGGCACTGGGAGGGATTGGATTAAACATCTTCCTGTGATTCTGATGGCAGATCAAATGATGACTAAGGCTAGTACTGGTGTCTCCCCTTATAGATTGCTAATGGGCCAGGAGGCAGTTCTTCTGATTGAACTCAAGATTCCTACTTGGCAAACAATTCTCTGGTGAAAGATTCAAACAACTGAAGACCTGCTTCTGATGCGAGCACAGCAAATTGAAAGACAAGATGAGGATATTCTGAAAGCAGCTCATCATCAGCTCTGAATGCATGCTAGGAATAAGAAATACTTTGATAATACCCATAATGTTTGGACCAACCCTCTTCTACCTGGAGACCTTGTCTTGCTTCACAATACCAAAGAAGAACAGAATATGTCTAGAAATAACACCCTGTGCTTTCAATGGCTAGGACTCTATAGGATTAAGTCCGCCAATCAAGAACTAGGTGCCTATCATCTTGAAGAGTTAGATGGCACTGAACTCAAAGGATCTATTGCAGGAAACAGATTAAAGAAGTACCTTATGAAACCTGGAATGAAGCTATTCAATGATAGCCCAGCAGATTCTGATGTAGAGATGGAGAACATCTCTTAAAGATATGCCACCAGAAGTTGATCTAACATTTCCTCTAGTAGTTCCTCAGATGTTAGCTTCTTGGATCAGAGTGAAAATGAAAATGATCAAGAAGAAATGGAGCAAACACAATTTCCAACTGTTATACCAGATGACTGGAGCTTTGCTGTTGTTATACCTCCACAAGATATTTAATTTGTTGTGTTTTGTTTGCAAAGGTAAAGTTTTTTGCTTGCTTATTCAGGAAGTTTCTTTTATTTGCCTGCAAAGTGAAGTTTTTGCTTGCTCTTTCAGAAAGTTTCTCTTTCTTTGTTATTTGCTTAGCATTCACTTTTTCTGGAGATATTTAAAGGTCAATTTTTCTTTGCTGGAGCTTTTACTTTCTTTTACATTTAAGCTTGATTCTTTTTACAGATTCAACATTTCCTTCTATTCTGTTATTCTGACATTTGCAAATTTCTTGATCCCTGATATTCTTCAAAAATGGCTGGACAAAGCAACCTGCCTCCTTTAGCACCAGCAACCAAAAACCAAGGCCTGGTCATTACCAGAGACAGTGGAGTCAACTTGGATGGCCATTTCTTCAATAACATAACAGCAGCTATGGAATACATCAATAACCAAGCTCTGCACCATCAATATGGTCTACAAGTCAAGCTGATGAACATACTTATGCAAGTGACTGATGTAGTCACTGACTTAGTGGCCCATTTCTATCAATATGTTGAAAGATCCAGAGCTTGGCAACATGTTACACACGCCAATTTTGAAGCTGATTTCCATGATGCTTGAAAGATTACCCTGGATGTTGAACAACATCGCATTGATATGCAAAAGATCAAGGATAGGCTTGTTGCTACATGGGGGATAGACAAGATTGATGCCATATGGCCAAAAGTGGAGAGCCTGTAGGCTGCACAAAAGCTTCACCATACTCTAAATGTCTACAAGGATTGGGATAAGTTTGCCAACAATATTAACAGTACAGTG